GACATGAGAAATTTTAAGTTTGGAAACATTTTGAATTATGTTTGGCATTTTCACCTTCTTTTTAAGCAGTTGCAAAAGTGCATGTCCAGGATTTGAGAACATTATGACTTTGCTACATCCTTTTACTATAATAAGACTGTAGTCCACAGTCATATGATAAGCCAGGTCAGATAGGTTGTCCTGAAGAATATGCATATGTTTGGTGCTAATACAGTCCTTGGACATATACTTGAAAACCATACCATTCTACATCCTACCACGTTGATGAGGAATAAAACCAGCAGTTTACTTCTTTTGAATTATATACTGCTCTTTGAATCTCTGAAGCATGGCTAAATGTAGTACAAATGTACACATACTCAGCATAAGGGATCACTGCATAATGCCTAAAAGAATCATGTGAATGCAACACTCTATACCTTCATTAAGTTGAGCTCATTTTTTCCCACACTTTATAGTTTAAAGAATTGAACTATTTGATAATAGTGACTATCAAAAAATTATACCTAAGACAGGTCATAAGGCTGTAGGTGGGTAGATGGCAGGGGGCCTTATAAAATACAAAGTGAGGATATAAGCTATTTGAGATTTACGCTAATGAACCACTAGAATGGAATGTTATGAGATAAATTGAGGCACATTAAATATTTTCAGAGTTTGAGCAAAAATTGATTGACAGTGGTCAGCACCAAACCAGAAGTGGTTAGGAGTGCAGCTGGAGGCAAGATTTTACATAGAAGATGTGAAAGCCAAGCAAGAAAATTATTTGATTGGCTACAGCTTAAACAATTACCTTGTTTGGGAAAGTCTATTTGGCTTTGTGGTTGGTTGTCCTTAGGTTTCCATTTCTTAACGCAGGGCACTACAGGCTCAAGTTTAGGTTTGCTTAAGAGAGCTACTAAGGCATTAAACCATCTAAGTCTAATGGCCTTCTTGTTTAACTGATTTAACACTACCTGTTTTCCTAGTGAGTTACTAATGCTCCTGGGAGCCAAATACTGTGTAATAATGAACTGATGATTTTATTAACATTTGCTAATGAATAATCAATTTTTTTCTTGTTAAAACATTAGAGTTGGAAATTTTTGTATACTCAGTGAAGTATATGTATATTGTGAAGTATATACTCACAATATGCGACCCCCAAAATACACCTCTTTGGAGTATTTTGAACTAAAGGCAACCAAGAAGCAGGAGGTGCAGGAGGGTACTCCCCCTGCATAAAAATAGAGTATACATTTCCCCTTTAGTAAAGGAAATTTACATTCACAAAGGAAATTTCCATCTCTAATAGTGGCTCCAGGAAGTACCAGGAAGAGAACTACTCCCAGAGACAACTTTTATCACCTGAGAGAAAACCCTTATTTACTATACATTTCCTCCCTCACATCCCTGCCTCCCCCACTCAGAAGCCCCAAATCCCTTTCCCTTTGTTTAGCCTAATACAGTATATAAACCTCGATCATCTGGTCTCTGAGAGTCTCGTTTCTTTGTAAAATTTCCATGCGTACTTATCCAGTTAAAACTGTTTTTTTCTCTCTTTAATTTGTCTTTTGTCAATTTAATTTCCAGGGCCCCAGCCAGAGGACCTAGGAGGGTAGAGGGCAACATTTTTTCTTTTCCTGCATCAGATTCAGCAATTTTCCAGGTCAGAACCTGTATGCTACTTTTGACCTTATGCCTAAAACATGGGATATTAGGGTGTATTTTTCCAGTTTAGGCTGTTCTATCCAGAATTTCTAGTCCAGATGTCCGTTCTCTGTGTCACCAGAACAACTGCCAAAACGTTCACACAAAGAATTTTTAAATCTTGTCTTTGGACCCTATAAAATCTTGTAGCATGATTTTACTTTAGAATATATTTATATATATATATATATATATATATATAAAATAATTATGACTTTCCCCCCACAAATATCCAGTACCACTGTTATAGAGGTTTAAATTATTTTTCCTTTTCCACCTCTGACTTTCCTATTTGACTTTATTCATATATTTAATTTCATTATGCATCATTCTCATTTGAGCTGTTCTAGGGAAAACTGTACTTTATAAGTGTATATTTGCAGGAAAGGTTATCAACAAAACTGTATCTTGTTACTTAAATTGCAGAAGCTCAAAATCAAGGAAATGAAATATGATAGTCATTAGCACCTTTTGCCAAATATTTCCTGCTCGCCACTCCTAAGGCAGCTTCTGACCTCCTTGTGGATAATGCTGTGGGAAGACAAATGCCTGTGACTCATTTAGGTCAATGAACTGTGAATGGAGGTGACAGCGTTTCTAAGTTGGAACATTTAATGTTCCTCTGCAACACCCTTCAAAGCTTATTTCCCTTTGCCATTGCAACCAACAAAGTTCCAGATCATGGCTGCTCCTTCTGTCTGAGTTCCTGAATCCTACTGCCAACCCATCATGGCCAGATAGCAAAAGGGAAAACAAAACAAAAGAAACAAACAAAAAGCACTGAGTTTGTTTGTTACTGCATCTTAAGCTAACTTAACCTTTCCTATTCCAACCAAAACAGGTAGTAGCTCAAACTTAAGATCATTTGGTTGAGTTTTTCTTGGGGCAATTTTAGTCAAAAATAAATTTTCATTCATTTTTTAATAACTTTTCATGAGATTCCTACTGGGTTTATAGCAATGAACTTCCAATATAAACATCTCTGTTCTCATGAAAATTGAGAGGGGGTAAAGGAGACAGTAGGCATGTATCTAAGTATGATGAATGCTATAATTGGAAAAGTATGGCATTCTCTATATTATCCTAGGAGTCTTGTGGCTCATCTTCCCCTTTATGGCTGTCTCTCTTTTAAGTTAAGAATTATTCAGTTGCTGAATATTATACAAGGCTACCTAGAAAGAGTGAGAAAGAAAAAACAAGTTTCTAACTCTTGAGAAGTTTCTTGGAATCATAGAAAACCTAGCTTGCTTGAGTCTGGAGCCTGAATTTCAACATTGCTTTTGACCAATGTGCAGCCTCATACAAGTAGCTAGCTTTGCTGTGCCCTTGTTTTATCATATGTAAAATAGCACTAAATATAACCTGCCCTGGCTGATTCTCATTATTGCTGCAAGAATTAAATTAAGCAGAGAATAAAATGTCCCATAAAAATAAACAGTGTCATTATTCTTTGAAGATTCTACTTGAAGTGCATTGGAGGAGCCTATAAATAGCCAGTTTAAAAAAAAAAAAAGAGTTTGGTCCACCTATAAAGCAACATATAAACAAATTAAAATTAAAATTGTACCTTTCCAGCTGTACCCTTCCATACAGAATGATACAGAGAAAATTACACCTTCAAGAATCTAAAACTCAGTGTGTATTGCCAAGTAGTATCTGCTAATGGACTGCTATTAGGATATAGCTGAAACAGGCCAAAAATTGCCTTGTAATCTTCATAAGAAATATTTAATACTTTCTTGGTCAGTAAAATGAAATGAATGTACACATAACTAGTTTTATACAAGTAAATAAACAACAGAAAAATTCATGCAGCATTAGGAAAACTGCCATTGTCTTTGAAATCTGTAATTTCCTAAGTGTTTACACTTCTAACCTCTTGGAAATATCTAATTTTCTAAACTCATTTCTCTTTTCTGAGTCTCATTTAGATTAGAGTTCAGAATCTCAAGGTAACATTGTAAGCAATGATGAAAGGCACCTTTGTCAATGTTTGTCAGGCAACCCAAAGCCTCAGTTATTGGCATGGTACAAGGCACCTTATTTTGTACACAGAGTGGGCGTAGGTGCTGAACTGCTTTTCTATTGGTCAGTTTCCCTTCCAATGGCAGAAGAGGAAGTATATTTTTCCCCAGCTAATTAGCATATTCTGGGAAAGTACCCAAGTATGTTTCTTTCTCTGGCAGTGTTAAATATAGACTTGGAAACCAGCGTTAGCATTTACCATTTATAAATTAGTTTGGCTTTGGGTGATCTAGATTTTATATACAAAAATACTCCAGAAAAAGTT